TGGCCTTCTTTGTCTCTAGTTTTGGCCTTCATTTTGCAATCTACTTTATCACATATGAGTATTGCTACCCCAGCTTTTTTTTCTTTTCTATTTGCTTGGAAGACTTTTTTCCATCCCTTCATTTTCAACCTATGTGAGACTTTTGTTGTGAGGTGGGTTTCTTGTAAATAACATATATGCGAGTCATGCTTTCTTATTCAGCCATCTACTCTGTGTTTTTATTAGAGCATTCAAACCATTCACATTTAAGGAGATAATTGATATGTACTTATTTATTGCCATTTTTGTTTAGTGTTTTTTTTTTTTTTTTTTGTGGTACGTGCCCCTAGCGGGAACCAAACCCGGGACTCTCTGGTCCACAGGTTGATGCCCAACTACTGAGCCAAACTGGCCATGGCAGTGCGGTTTTATTTTTCTTCCTATTTCTTCTAGTAATTACAGCAGTCCTTTTAACATATCTTGCAGTACTGGTTTGGGGCTAATATATTGCCTTAGCCTTTTTTTTTTTTGTCTGGAAAGCTCTTTATTTGACCTTCTATTTTGATTGATGGCTTTTCTGGATAGAGTGCTTTTGGATTCAGATCCTTGTTTTTGATTACCTTGATTACTTGTTGATATTCCCTTGCGGCCTGTAGTGTTTCTGTTGAGAAATCAGCTGAGAGCCTTATGGGGTTACCTTTGTAGGTAACGTGTTGCTTATCTCTTGGTGCCTTTAGGATTCTCTCTTTGTCTTTAATTTTTGGCATTTTAATTATTATGTGTCTTGGTGTGAGCCTGTTTGGGTTCTTCTTACTTGGGACTCTCTGTGCTTCTTGAACTTGAATGCCTTCTTCCTTCACCAAGTTAGGAAAGTTTTCTGTCACTGTTTCTTCAAATATATTCTCTAACCCTTGCCCATATTCTTTTTCTTCGGAAACTCCTATGATGCAAATGTTATTATGGTTTCAGTTGTCCCACAGTTCTCTTAAGTTGTCTTCCTTTTTTATTTATTTATTTATTTATTTATTTATTTATTTATTTAATTTATTTATTTTTGTTACAGATGGTTCTCCTTTTCCCTACACTGATTTCCCCCTTCCCCTCCCTCCCTGCCTTGTCCCCAGCTTTGTTGTTCATGTCCATTGTTCACGCATACATGCATATTAAGTTCTGTGGTTTATTTCTCCCCCTGTGTTTCCTGTTTTTTAATTGTTTTTTTCTTTTTGGTTTTCTGATTGGTTTATTTTTTCCTACCCTGTCTTCTAATTCACTGATTCGTTCCTCACCTTCCTCTACTCTGGTGGTCAGTCCTTCCAATGTGTTCTTAATTTCTGCTATGTCATTTTTCATTTCCAGTTGGTTGGGTTTCAATGTTTCTATATCTTTACTCATGGTGCTGATGGCCTTACTTATGCTGTTGAGCTTCCTGAAGATCATGGCTCTGAACTCTACCTCTGATAATTTTCATAGCTGCATTTCATTGATCTCATCTTTGATAGAATTCTCTTGTTTTTGCATTTGGGAATTGTTCCTTTGTTTCACCATTTTGTTTATCTCAGTGGGTTTTGCAGCCTGCCAAATTTTCCCTGTGGGTGTTGGTGTTCTGTTGTTTGTGGTTCTCTCCACTGGGTTTGGATGAGTCTGGGTGGGCCCATGTTAAACACCACTGTCAAGTCTTACTTTCCTGGGTAGATTTGCAATCCTGGGAAAGGTTTAGTTATCCTCTAGTTTTCTGCCTGGAGGCTAGTAGTCTCAGTTTCTCAATGCCTTGAAATGTCACCCTGGTGTTCTGGTAAGAGGATTTCCAGAGGGTGAGATAGATGCTGGTTGTTAATGAGCCTCAATTTGCATTTCTTTGCCTCACCTGGAAAAAGCTGAATCTCTGAGGAAGGGGCTGCTGCTTTCCCCACAGCTCTGGGAAGGAGCAAACTGGCCATCCTCTTTTGTGACCACGACTCAGCAAAAACTCTGAGTACCCCCCAAATACCCTGTGTCCCCACAGAGTTTCATACTAGTGTGCCCTTTCTCTGCCTGATCCCCAGGTGAGTGGCTGTGGCTATTTTAGTGCCCTGTCTTGGTTCTCTGAGCTATGGAGCAGGCTTGTGGGTTTAACCCTAAGGCGCTGCTCACAGCTCAGACCACTGCTGTTTGTGGCTCCCAGCCTGCCACCCTCTTGTGCTTCCACAATCCTACTGGTGTCCTTGGTTATTTGGTCCTGTTCCACTGCTTTTCTGTTGCTTTTTTCTGAAGATTTGTCTTTATTTTAGTTGTAATTCCCGTTTGGTCCTGGGAGATTGTCTGTGTAGCTTCCATTCACTCTGCTCTAATTTTATCATCCTCCATGATGATTTTCACAGTCAGATGTGATGTAGGCACCTCTTCTTGGCTGTCGTGCTTTGGACTATGGAGCCTGGTATGCAGTTGAGACTCCACTTAAGTTAGGGGGCACCTTGGCAGCTGAGATATCTCTCTGGATTCTCAGTTGCACACATGGGTGTAGGGCCAGTCCTTGTTTAGTCTATGTCCTTCCTACCAGTCTCAGTGTGGCAACTGTGTAAATCCTTGATTATGAGACTTTTGTTCAGAGTGATCTTTCACTTGTTTACTCAGGTTGATTTTTTTTTTTTTTTGATTGTTTGCTGAATTTAATGAACAAATACTGTTGAGCCTAGAAATCAGTTATAAAACCAAGGGAAATTAGGGATCCAAAGCAATAGTGAAATAAAATCAGACTACAGGAATAAATTAGTTCAGACCCAATGCTGATAGACACAATATTTTGCCACTGAAAATGCAGCTCTTGCTGGTCTGGAACATTGAATGCTACTCCCACTGGAGCCTCTAGGAGAAGTGCAAAGCCATCCCTGTCTCTTTGTAACAGTAGCTGTAGATTGAAAGTCCCAGCACTATACAGAATGCCAGCTCAGAGAGTGCCACCAGCCTGTGCAGACTTTGGGTTCCATGCTGGTGAGGATTTTCTATAATTTAGTTTTAATTCTAGTTTGGTCTTGATAGGAGGTAATTTGTAACTTTCATCTACGCTGTTGCCATCTTTTCTTTCCAACTGATGGTTTGCATTCTTGTTGAGTTTTAAGAATTCTTTGTATGTCTTAGAAACAAGTGCTTTATCAGGTATGCATTCTGTAAGTTGTTGTTGTTGTTGTTGTTTTTTAGTCTGTGGCTTATATTTTTATTGTCTTGACAAGTATTTTTTGCAGAACAAATGATTTTAATTTTAAATTTTAATGAAGTTGAACTTCTCAGTTTTTTCTTTCATTAATTGTTTTTTTTTGGTGTTGTATCTAAAATATCATACTATCATCCATAGTAATCTAGATTTTATCCTATATTATCTTCTAGAAGTTTTATAGTTTTACATTTAGAGCATTTTAAAATATGTTTTTAAAATTGATTTCAGAGAGAGGAAGAGAGAGGGAAAGAGATAGAAATATCGATGAGTGAGAAACATGAGATGGCTGCCTCTTGCATGCCCTCTGTTGAGGATCGAGCCCACAACCCGGGCATGTGCCCTGACCAGAAATCAAACTGGTGACCTCTTGGTGCATAAGTCAATGCTCAGCCACTGACCCACACTGGCCAGGCTGCATTTTACATTTAAATCTGTGGTCTATATTGAGTTAATCTTTGTAAAGGTTGTAATGTCTCTGTCCATATTATTATTATATTTTGGCCATGTAAATTTCCAGTTCAGTCTCATATGTTGAAAACACTAACCTTTCTCCATTAAGGCTAACCTTTCTGCCTTGGTTTTTCTGCCAGAAAACAGTTGACTACATTTGTTTGGGTTTATTTCTGGGATCTCTATTCAGTTCCATTGATCTGTTTGTTTATTCTTTTGCAAACTGTTTTAATTACTGTAGGCTTACACTAAGTCTTAAATTTGGATAGTGTCAGTTCTCCTACTTTATTCTTCAATATTGTATTGGCTTCTCTTGATCTGTTGCCTTTCCACATAAAGTTCAGAATTTAGATTGTTGATATACACAAAATAATTTGCTGAGATTTTGATTGGGATCACATTGAATCTAAAAATCAAATTAGCAAGAACTGATATCTTAACAATATTGAATTTTCTTATTGCAGTGTTCCCTATATAAAAGCAATGAACAAGTAGCATTTGAAATCTTACACACACCATTTTTATCAACACCAATACTCTCAATATTTAAATATTAATTTAATTAAATATGTGCAAGATCTATGAGGAAAAGTACAAAATTCTGATGAAAGAAATCAAAGAAGACATAAATAAATGAAGAGATATTTTATGTGCATGAATAGAAAGAAACTTTGGTATGCTTCCATGTTATTTAACATTTTCTTTGCACTTTTTTTTTGTTTATATAGCAAAAAATAGTGCAGGAACTGTTTTCTGTCATTTAATTCTTTTGTTACAAGATGGAGGGATCTTGTGTTACTACTCTAAGAGGTCACTATTTTGTATCCTCATTATGTTGGTTCCCTTTTAAGTAGCATCTTAGGTGACTTTATGGGTTATTTGATTCAGTTGAAAAAAAATAATAGATTGTTTAGTTCTTCCCATAGACCTTATTGACTTAACAAGCATCAACCAAAGCAGTTCTCTCTTAGCATCCTAGAGTCCTCTTACATATTACATCATAAGGAGGTCACACATATTGAACCTCATTCCAGTTTGTCACTTACAGATACATAGTTTTGATGATGTTATATAACCTCTCGGAGCCTCAATTATTTCATTTGAAAATGTTTATATATATATATATATATATATATATATATATATATATATATATATGTTGCAGGATTAGGACAATGTAAAGTAGTGTAGTGGCTTGCACAAAATAGGTATTTAATAAAATGGCAACTATTTTTATCTTAAGCATTTTGTTTCTTGAGCACTTACATGACCCTGCAGTCTCTTATTTATACTTGTCTAGGTCTCACACATATAGAAGTGGGTTATATCAGCATAGTGGTATTACTGCAGCAATTTATATAATTTTCTTTTTTTTAAATAGAAACTACTTATTCAATACCTGATCGATTGAATGCCATGATGAAAATATTTGAGAAACAGTCAAATACATTAGAGAGGTAAGCTTTCAAAATAATTTTTTCCACTTATAAAACTGAATACACATTTATTTTAGAAAAATAGGAAATATAAAGAAGAAAATAAGATCACTTAAAAATTTAGTGTTCTTACATCATTTTATGATATGTATAATTTATTTATTTATTTATTTATTTTTTTGTTACAGATATTTTACCTTTTTACCCCATTGGCACCCCCCACCCCACCCCCCCTCCACCCTGTCCCCGGCTTAGTTGTCCATGTCCATTGGTCATGCATACATGCATATAAGTTCTGTGGTTTATCTCTTCCCACCCCCCCACCCCCCATCCCCTCTTCTGAGGGATGTCAGTCTGTGCCCTACTTCCATGTGTCTGGGTCTGCTGTATTCCTCAGACTGTTATGTTCATTATATTCCGTATATAAGTGAGATCATGTGGTATTTGTCTTTTTCTGCTTGGCTTCTTTCACTTAGGATAATACTTTCCAGGTCCCTCCATGTCGTCTCAAAGGATAAGAGATCTTTCTTTCTTACCGCTGCATAGTATTCCATTGTGTATATGTACCACAGCTTTTTGATCCATTCATCTACTGGTGGACACTTGGGCTGTTTCCAGATCTTAGCTATTATAAATAGTGCTGCTATGAACATGGGGGTACATATATTCTTCCTGATTGGTGTTTCAGGCTTCTTAGGGTATATTCCCAGCAGTGGGATCACTGGGTCAAATGGAAGTTCAATTTTTAATTTTTTGAGGTAGCACCATATTGTTTTCCATAGCGGCTGCACCAGTCTGCATTCCCACCAGCAGTGTATTAGAGTCCCCTTTTCTCCACACCCTCGCCAACACTTGTTGTTTGATGATTTGTTGATGGCGGCCATTCTGACAGGTATGTATAATTTTAAAACTTAAAATGAAATCACACAGAGTATAAAGTTATATAGTTACAATGTGAAATAGTATGTCAGTTCCTCAAAATATTAAAATTATAACAACTATATGATTCAGCAATTGCATTTCTGGGTATATATGCCCCAAATTGAAATTAGCATCTTGAGGAGATATCTATACACACACATTCACTTTAGCATTAGTCACAAGAGCAAAGAAGTGGAGGTAGCCCAAATGTCCAACAATGAATAAATGAATGGATAAGGAAAATAAAATATATACAGACAATGGAATATAATTCAGTCTTAAAAAGGGAGGAAATTCTAACACATGGTACCACATGAATGAACATTGAGGACATTATGTTAAATAAACTAGTTACAAAAGGACCATAAATTTATGATTTCAGTTAGATGAGATACATAGTGTAGTCAAATTCATAAAGAGAGAACATAGAATGGTGGTTTCCAGGGGCTCAAGAGAATGTGAGTGGGTAACTTGTTGTTTAATGGGTACAGAGTTTCAGTTTTGCAAGATGAAAAGAGTTCTGGAGGTTGGTTGCACAATAGTATGAATACATTAACCTGTACTGTGCACTTCAACATGGTTAAATGACAAATTTTTATGTATATTTTACAATTTCAAAGAGTAAAAAATGTACAATCATATAAAATGTTACTTCTATATATACTTTCTTTTAAAATTTATTCATTTATTTTGTGACAGGAGTCCCTCCTTTCCCCCTCATTGACACCCTCTTTCCCACTCCAGTCCACCTTCCACCTTCACAGTATTGTCTGTGTCCATTGGTTATGCATATATGCATATAAGGTCTTCAGTTTATCTCTTCCCACCCTCCCACACACCTTCCGTTGAAGTTTGTCAGTATCTTCTCTACTTCTAAATCTCTGGATTTGTTTTGCTCATCAGCTTATTTTGTTCATTATATTCAACAAATAAGTGAGATCATGTGATATATGTCTTTCCCTGATTGGTTTATTTCACTTAGCACAGTACTCTTCAGGACCCTCCCTGTATTCTCAAAGGGTAAGAGATCTTTCATCCTTACAGATGCATAGTATTCTTTTGTGTGTATGTACCATAGCTTTTTTTATCCACTTATCTACTGATGGACACTTGGACTGTTTCCAGATCTTAGCGGTTGTAAATAGTGCTGCTATGAATATAGGGGTGAATATATTCTTTCTGATTGGTGTTTTAGGATTCTTAGGATGTATTTCTAGAAGTGAAATCACTGGGTCAAATGGCAGTACAATTTTTATTTTATTTTTAAACAATTAGCTACTTTTTATTAGATATTTCTTTTCCTCTGAACTGTTTAAATGCTTCTCACTCTTTCAAAGATATTTTCATAGGTAGTGTCAATATTTATTCAATATTTTTCTTTTTTTAAATTAACTTAAATTTATTTTTGTTACAGATATTTCTCCTTCCCCCCCCCACTGATTCCCTCCTCCCCCTCCCTCCCCGCCCTGTCTCCAGCTTTGTTGTCCATGTCCATTGGTCATGCATACATGCATATAAGTTCTGTGGTTTATCTCTTCCCACCCCCCCACCCCCTATCCCCTCTTCTGAGGGATGTCAGTCTGTGCCCTACTTCCATGTGTCTGGGTCTGCTGTATTCCTCAGACTGTTATGTTCATTATATTCCGTATATAAGTGAGATCATGTGGTATTTGTCTTTTTCTGCTTGGCTTCTTTCACTTAGGATAATACTTTCCAGGTCCCTCCATGTCGTCTCAAAGGATAAGAGATCTTTCTTTCTTACCGCTGCATAGTATTCCATTGTGTATATGTACCACAGCTTTTTGATCCATTCATCTACTGGTGGACACTTGGGCTGTTTCCAGATCTTAGCTATTATAAATAGTGCTGCTATGAACATGGGGGTACATATATTCTTCCTGATTGGTGTTTCAGGCTTCTTAGGGTATATTCCCAGCAGTGGGATCACTGGGTCAAATGGAAGTTCAATTTTTAATTTTTTGAGGTAGCACCATATTGTTTTCCATAGCGGCTGCACCAGTCTGCATTCCCACCAGCAGTGTATTAGAGTCCCCTTTTCTCCACACCCTCACCAACACTTGTTGTTTGATGATTTGTTGATGGCGGCCATTCTGACAGGTATGTATAATTTTAAAACTTAAAATGAAATCACACAGAGTATAAAGTTATATAGTTACAATGTGAAATAGTATGTCAGTTCCTCAAAATATTAAAATTATAACAACTATATGATTCAGCAATTGCATTTCTGGGTATATATGCCCCAAATTGAAATTAGCATCTTGAGGAGATATCTATACACACACATTCACTTTAGCATTAGTCACAAGAGCAAAGAAGTGGAGGTAGCCCAAATGTCCAACAATGAATAAATGAATGGATAAGGAAAATAAAATATATACAGACAATGGAATATAATTCAGTCTTAAAAAGGGAGGAAATTCTAACACATGGTACCACATGAATGAACATTGAGGACATTATGTTAAATAAACTAGTTACAAAAGGACCATAAATTTATGATTTCAGTTAGATGAGATACATAGTGTAGTCAAATTCATAAAGAGAGAACATAGAATGGTGGTTTCCAGGGGCTCAAGAGAATGTGAGTGGGTAACTTGTTGTTTAATGGGTACAGAGTTTCAGTTTTGCAAGATGAAAAGAGTTCTGGAGGTTGGTTGCACAATAGTATGAATACATTAACCTGTACTGTGCACTTCAACATGGTTAAATGACAAATTTTTATGTATATTTTACAATTTCAAAGAGTAAAAAATGTACAATCATATAAAATGTTACTTCTATATATACTTTCTTTTAAAATTTATTCATTTATTTTGTGACAGGAGTCCCTCCTTTCCCCCTCATTGACACCCTCTTTCCCACTCCAGTCCACCTTCCACCTTCACAGTATTGTCTGTGTCCATTGGTTATGCATATATGCATATAAGGTCTTCAGTTTATCTCTTCCCACCCTCCCACACACCTTCCGTTGAAGTTTGTCAGTATCTTCTCTACTTCTAAATCTCTGGATTTGTTTTGCTCATCAGCTTATTTTGTTCATTATATTCAACAAATAAGTGAGATCATGTGATATATGTCTTTCCCTGATTGGTTTATTTCACTTAGCACAGTACTCTTCAGGACCCTCCCTGTATTCTCAAAGGGTAAGAGATCTTTCATCCTTACAGATGCATAGTATTCTTTTGTGTGTATGTACCATAGCTTTTTTTATCCACTTATCTACTGATGGACACTTGGACTGTTTCCAGATCTTAGCGGTTGTAAATAGTGCTGCTATGAATATAGGGGTGAATATATTCTTTCTGATTGGTGTTTTAGGATTCTTAGGATGTATTTCTAGAAGTGGGATCACTGGGTCAAATGGCAGTACAATTTTTATTTTATTTTTAAACAATTAGCTACTTTTTATTAGATATTTCTTTTCCTCTGAACTGTTTAAATGCTTCTCACTCTTTCAAAGATATTTTCATAGGTAGTGTCAATATTTATTCAATATTTTTCTTTTTTTAAATTAACTTAAATTTATTTTTGTTACAGATATTTCTCCTTCCCCCCCCCCACTGATTCCCTCCTCCCCCTCCCTCCCCGCCCTGTCTCCAGCTTTGTTGTACATGTCCATTGTTCATGCATACATAGATATAAGTTCTGTGGTTTATCTCTCCCCCATCACCCCCTCCTCTGGGCATTGTCAGTCCGTATCTTACTTCCACGACTCTGAAACTACCCCATACCTCAGAATGTTATGTTCATTATATTCCACAAATAAGTGAGATCATACATATGATACTTGTCTTTCTCTGTTTGGCTAGTTTCACTTAGGATAATACTTTCCAGGTCCCTCCATGTCGTCTCAAAGGATAAGAGATCTTTCTTTCTTATAGCTGCATAGTACTTCATTGTGTATATATACCACTGCTTTTTTATCTATTTGTCTACCAATGGACACTTGGGCTGTTTCCAGGTCTTAGCTATTGTAAATAGTGCTGCTATGAACATGGGGGTACATGTATTCTTTCTGATTGGTGTTTCAGGCTTGTTAGGGTATATTCCTAGAAGTGGAATTACTGGGTCAAATG